ACAAAACACATTCATTTACTCCACGGAGTACAAAACAACATTAAATAACTCGAATTGACATTAAATAATTAACTAAGTACTGGCGACATTTACGTGCACATCTCGGGACAATGACAAAATATGAACTCCCCGTATAATTTCCAGCATTTGCTCTAGACAAGTTTTGCATAAAAAAATGTAGTCCAAAGGTCCATATCACTTTCGTTGATAAAACCGCGTAACATTCTTAATTGGCCACTGGTGCAACAATAATGTAACACTTGAACGAGTGGGTAGGTAGGTATATAATAATTACTCGTAATAACATTTATTTTATTTATTTTCCAAAACTAGGTGACAAATTAATGACAGAACAGCTTCCTAGCTCAAAACAAAAAGCGCGGCTCGTTTTAGCATATTTCCGCTCCTATCTTAAAAGCTCTACTTTTAACATTGGAAATGTTTATGGTTTCGTCTCGGGTTTTGTATAAGTATGCGGTATAGTGGTACTAAGTTACGAGTTTCGCTCAAGCACAAAGGACAACGGTGTCGCATCAAGTGACGGTTGTACCATACTCGGTCATGATCGATAGGTGAATAAAAAGTCGCGGATACTGTCGATGCGGTACTTACTTAATAGTGTTCAATTGTTTTGTTTAATCCCAATCTAAAATTCTTACACATCTCCTTTAATAGTACACCTTACGACGCTCATTATTCAGAAAATTGACGTTCCGATCCGATTGAATAAGAGATATTCTTTAACTTGTTTTTCTTTTGTTTATGTTTATTACTAACACTTATTTTATTACTAATAATTCGTTTATTGTCAAACAACGTTGCCCTCGGTCAGTTGGATGAGTAACCGACCATGTTTATTTTAACTTAATTGTTTAATATTATGTAATTAATCGTAATAAAAACTGAATTATACACTACGTCCAAGACAATGATGTCTATCATGGGTATCCCGGATACCAGAGGAGATACGAAGATGGTCAAATTAGAGAACAGATGGGCAATTAAACATTTATTATCACGCTTTAAACAAAACCAGAAAATTCCGATTAATTCCGAAGATATGACCGAAAAATCGAGATTTGTTGATTTTGTTTTTACTTTTTTCTGGTGTTAATTAAGCAGATACAGGAAAAGACAAAGGCTATCTCTTGGCCACTATTTAATTTCTACAAGACAGCGATGAGACATGTTTAATACAACGTTTCGTTTCGGAGAAATCACCATCAACTTTATTATTTTTATAAGTACATACTGTATTGAGTAGCATACAAAAGTTGCAAACTGTTGATTTCAACATAACGGGGGGGGGGGGGGGGCAAGGAATACGGACCCTGATTTCAACAAGATGGTGCTCCACCTGTCCAGGAAATTTGTCCGATAGGTATTCTCGCGCTATTAGGGCATTGTGCGCGGGTGCACCATCTTGTTGAAACCAGTTAACTTGCCCCCTCCCGCATTGAGATTTAATAGTCATATCATTATCAAGTAATGCGCCCGTTACGCGTCACCGATAATAACTTTTGCGTCATTATCCCCCCCCCCCTTCACTACGTATTTTGTAGCTAGTATCTGTGATTTTAAATATTTTAAAAACAAGTTAAAAAAAATCTTAAAATCTGATCTGTTTTGAGAACATCCGAAGATTAATTAATGCGACTAAATAGTACAAGCATAATGTCTCTCAAATTTGGAATAGAGAAGGTAATTAATTAAGAATAATAAAACCGAATGATTTTTGTATTGTGAATGAGCAAAATCCATGAGTTTTTATCGCATTTTTCAAAAAATAAAATACGCTATTAGGAGCGTTTTCCGTCCGTCCGTCAGTGTAAAGGATGAGATCTCGGCACAAGTAAGTCCTAGAAAGCTTGTTAGGTTAGATAAGAGGACAGAAAGAAGGGCAGTAGTTGGTAGAAAACGGTTCCTTTCATTGAGACCTTTAATTAGAATACAATGAGATAACATTAATTTTTACCCCCACCCCCCTCAGGACCCGTCGCTCACTGATCTCGAAAAAGAGTCGCACGGGAAAGTTATAGTTTGTACAAACCAATTTATTTATTTCGATGAGACCTTTTGGAACATATGTTAACCCCCCCCCCCCCCATTCTCTAAAGTTTAACTTGGCACCACTAAAGGCATGCGTATCCAAAATCTGAGACCAATTGGTTGGGGGGGGGGCTTTTAGGCAGCGAAATTTGATGGCACACCTTCAAAGTATAGGCTACCTACTACAAAAAATTCCAGGACTCTAGGACCATTCCCCTAGAAATAGTTCGAAACGGCACAAGTGGGTCCGGGCGGATGGACGGACGGACAAAATGCAAATAGCACAGTTTTTTTAATTCTTAAAAAATGCACTAAAACCAAGACTGACGATTAGGGCGTTATACGCAGGTACACCATTCTGTTGAAATCAACAGTTTTAAACCTTTGTTTTTTTGTGTGAAGTTGATCGTTGTATTCGTAATTTATTTATTATCCCTCTCTTGTTCTGGACCCTCAACAACAGCTTGCGCCCAATTACAGAGTAATAAAAAATGCTACTCAATACAGTGTGTACTTTTTTACAGACCGTATAAAAATATAATGTCGATGATGATTTATCCGAAACGTCTTATAGAGCTAAAAAATTGTATGACGTCACGGCGCTAAAAACGTAGATACAGAAAACACGCTATGATAGTATTTGAATGCATTGGAAATTTTTGGAAAATCTTTGAAAATATCAGAAATATCACCGAAAAACTGAAAATGTCAAATTTTGTTTTTATTTTCCAAAACGGTCGAAAATGAACTGTTCTCGTTAGCACTTTCTATAGGCACTTTTTTTGGGAGAATCTTTTATTGGAATTTCCATAGCACGCCAAACTGTTTCTTATGGGCGCCATATTGAATTTTTACGGAATGAGACACAAGACCAAAAAAGACAAATAATGAAGGACCACACTCTATAGCCTCTATACTTTTACATAAAGTTTCAAAATCAAAAGTTTTACATTCATTTCTTAGCAAAACATCAACGGGTAACTAGATCTGGCTGAATCAACATGTCTATGATGGCGATGCATTCAAATCAATTTCTTTTTTTGTCCTCTGTAAAATCTAATATGGCGTTCGTAAAAAAGTAAGCAAGTAGTGCACGTAACCTGCTATGGAAATTCTGATAACCGATTCAAATTCTCCCGAAAAAAGTGCCCATAAAAAATGCAAACTGTCCATTTCCGAACGTTTGAGATAGGGAAAATCGAGGGGAAAATGAAAACGAAATTTGACATTTTCAGTTTTTCGGCAATATCTTAGTTTCAAAGATTTTTCAAAATTTATCTGGCCATTGTTTTAAGAACATTTGTTTTCGCGTTGCGTAAGGTGAAATTGAATTAGTTTCAAGATAAGCACGTTGAGTTTATTTGAAAGCTGGCGTTATTCAAATTTGGTGATTATGAAGGTGGAAGAGGCTTACATACCAGAAGAACACGAAAAATGTTTTTTTTTTGTGGTGAACGTTTGAAATGTACCTTTTTGTCGTATATCGGAGGCGTTTTCGGTGGTGGTCCGATAGTATTAGTTTCAAACGCTTCAAACCCTGCTTTGGGCAGTCCGCTTGTTGGATGTTAAGATGGCGTTCGTCTTTTTGATAGTAAGGTTCGTTTATTGAAGAAAGTTTGATTTTGTACGACATAATTTTGTTATTTGTTGTATTTGTGTTATGTTTAAGGAAGTGTATGAAATTTTTGATTTTGTGAGTCAATTTATAAGGGAAAATGTAAATTGGCGAAAGATGAGAAGCGAAAAAAGAAAGTAGTTGTTAAATAGACGAGGAAGAGTTACAATGGGGCTTTCGCCTTTGGCCGTTTGTGGGAAGTCAAGTGTTGCACGTGTTTCTTAAATTAATTACAAATTTGGTATCTGCAAATAGTCAGTGCTACAAAGCACGAGACCATTGACGACGTATCTGATTTAGTAAAAATATTTGCAAGCTACCTCAAAATGGCGCACTCCTAAACGAGGGTTCTAATCTCGACGAACGTGGTATGTCAGATTTTCAACATGAAAGTAACGAATCAAAAATTAATTTTAATGTTTGAACTCGAAAAATTCCTGAACAAATTCTCTCTCCGAGAGGACTTTTAAACTTTTAATAAACTTATTAGTCTGTAAATGTGTTTGAATGCCAAATGTTGCAGAGCTTTTCTATCGCTTAAGGAGTTTTTATTACTCGGTAAGTCGTCAACTACAACCTGGAACAGTATTTAGAACCTCCGAAATTTTCTTAAGTCTTTAATTTAATGACCTTGAGATTCTCACTTTTTCTGAAACGAAAACAACATTACGATATCCAACTTTCGGCTGTGATACCTTGAACGAGAGGCCAGTTACCTATACGAAGGGTGTGGTAACAATAATCTTTAAAATTTGAATCAGCTTCATTTTAGCTTTGTTAATGAAATGTTTGTGATTTAATATTACTTGGAGAGCTTTTGATTTATGATAGCATTTTGATAAAAACAACCCGTAGCGTTTAATTAATTCGAAATTAAAAAATTCTCACTAAAAAAGAATTCACTCGCAGTCGTGCATTTTACGTTCATTTAGTATAAAAAGACAAGTGAAAAAAGACTGCGACAAAATTTTAATTAACATGCGTAAAAGTGTACGTTTGATGTGAAATTCCAAATCGCACAGTGATCAAAGGTGCTATACCCCGGAGTAATTAAAACTGTCGTTGAACAAAAACATTTACGCGATCCTCAGCGTGATCCCTTTACCTACTTGAAATTGTGTTTCATAACGAACGTTGAAAAAGAATATGATATGTCACACGAGACAATTTTCCACAAGCGTGAAAAATATTTCCAAGTTAAATACACCCACAAATGAAGAGACATACCGTCCACATAATTTAAAAAGTTTTCAATATCGCTCTGGTATCGTACTATAAAAAATCTACTTAGACTGAATTGTACAAGCATGCACAAATGTAATTAACAATCACTCACCTCTTCGTAAAACCGTAATTCAGGAACCGGCACTTCGGATACGTTTTCACAAAAGTCCTTAAATAATAAGTACCCTGAAAAGAAAAAAGAAAGACTATTACAGAACGTTGAAACTTGCAAGCGTATAGGTAAAATACTCTAAATGAAATTAAACCTTCTTTATCGTACAATGAATAAGCCACACCGAATTTATCGCTACAGTCGCTTTCCGAAGGGAAAATTTGGCATCGTCAGTACCAAATTAACGATAGAAAGTACATCCGGTGGGAGAAGAAAGTAGAGATATACTCGGGACGACAGTCATCGACAATTGCAGCACAACATCTCGTCTCAGTTTATGAAAACTTCGCTTTACAATCACTTTGTGAAGCGTCTCCAGTGATATTCGAGAACGTATTCCCATTATGTAAACCAGGAGAGGAACAAAAAAATATACTGTAAATCAGATTATTTGTTATTTATTATTTGTACAAAGTTTAACTTTTCTTTTAAGACGATCAAAGATGTGTCCGATTTTAATATGAACTAGATGTTAAATGAGAGATGGTTAAGTATTCATGTCCGATCAAACTGCATTTATTTGAGCTGCCTCCTCACCATTTACTGACTTGTATTTTCTTCCAGCGAGGTATTTAAAAGAATAAGAACCGTTTCGTTTATAAATAAATATTATTGTTTTATTTACCTTCCTATATTCTTGAGGCGGAGATTAGTACCACCCGATTCAAGAACGTGTGACGTCACGTAACATCGCCCGCTCGCCATTCGTCGTAAACGCTGTGACTTCACGCAATATCGTGCGCCATCTGTCGTAAAAACAATTCCATTGGATATAAGGCGACGCGCAAGCGGAAAGCGTCAGTCTCCCTGCTTCTCTAGCAAATCAAGACACAATAGCGCACTTTGTCTTACGCCTCCAAACGCTGGCCAAAGATCGAAATTCGGAGAAATTTAAGAAAAATTAAGAAAATTAAGGAAAAAAAACTATAATATACAGGGTGACTTAAATTGAGTAGAATAACATGGCTATCTTAGTATAATATACTTACAGATTCGGTTAAATTAGTAAAGTTGTTTAGTTTTTGATGCTAATGGATATTCCGATGCGACATTTTAAAAAATCGTTTCGTAGGTATGTAATTGGAAAAAAGTGAAAATCGACATTTTTAAAAAGTTCAAATATTTTAGCTATCGAATTTTCAAATAAAAGTTGCAAGATTCGATGGGATAAAATCAATATGTGTAGAAAAAGTTTTCAAAATGGCGGTTTTCGGGATATAGACATCAACTTCCTTATTTTAAATGGCCACCATATTGGATTTTTACGTCACTCGATAGAGAACAAAATTACAAAACCAGTGATACTAAACACTTGGTATTTCATTTGGAAATCAAGCTTGCATTTTTGCCTAGAAGTGTACAATGTATTTCTTATGGCAATAATTCCAGGGCCATGTCGATGGTGACTATGCAAGTTTCAATCACAATCAGCCATGGAATTATTGCCATAAGAAATACATTGTAAACTTCGAGGCAAAAATACAAGGTTGATTCCTAAATGAAATACTAAGTGTTTGGTTTGGAATTTTTTTCTATATCGAGTGGCATCAAAATCTTATATGGCGTCTATTTAAAATAAGGAAGTTGATGTCAATACCTCGAAAACCGCCATTTTGAAAAAAAGTTTTCTACGTCCATTGAATTTATCCCATCGAATCTTGCAACTTTTATTTGAACTTTTTAAAAATGGCGATTTTCATTTTTTCCAATTATCTTGGAAACGGTTGATTTTTTTCAAAATATCGGAATATCAGCATCAAAAGCAAAATCAATTGTTTTTTCGTTACTCATTTATTTTTTTTTGAAATAAAACAACTGAATGCTGCCTTATTATGGGAAATAAAATGTTAAACAACTTTCATATAGAAATATTTTGTATGCATTCCATATTTACAGAGATATATACTATATTCCATACATAATGGGCACCCTGTATAATTTTGTATGTTATGCAACTGTTGAAACGGAGCCGGTGCTGGTCTGGAGACACCGTCACTGGTTATCGCTGTCAAATGAAAAGCCTCGATGTAGCTCCCGGCAAGGATTTACCCTGACGACGGACCTTAAAGGAAACTTCCATCCAGTTCAAGCGACCTCTTCTCAAAGTCAGTTGAATCTGACAGCAAGCACGGAAATGATGATACTTGGGTTCAAGTCCGATCTACCGACCGAATGCATGAACGCAATCCGCAACCCCTACAAGGATTAAGACACCAGTAAGGAGTTTAAATTCAAGGACGGGTACGACAACGGCAGCATCTAACGGAGGAATTTTATAACAGATACTACAAGATGTTTCTAATAAAATTTCTAGTTACCACTTTTATATAATAATTTTGTTACAGTTAATTTAACAACGATGCCTACAATCTACCCCAGAAGATACGCCCTCCACCAGCAATACCGCAGAGTAAACGACGCTCACATATTGCAATCTGTATATATTGTAAATAAATTATTGTTAAGGTGATCCAATAAAGGAAATAAAACTAAGAACATCAGCGCAACCATAAACAAGAAAAGAATTCCCAGTCGAAATATAAATGTAATTAGAATTACCCTTAACTAGAGTGGAATAAAGAACCCTGAAGCAAATAATTCCGTTCCGACCAAAATATGCATTCCTCAGTGGAGATCTTAAATACCAACTTTATCAGGAAAACGGCCAAAACGCACTTGTCGTTTTAGATCAGTAATTTATCAATTAATTTATGTCGGTGCATTATGAGAAAGTCCAGGTATATAAGGAAAACCCCCTGACAAAACACACACAGAGCAGTCGGGAGCGGGATTCGAACCCATAGCCTCCCGAATTGAAATCGCCATCGTTACTAGAAACGTGACAATTTTCTGTTGAACCAGTGATAACATTTTCTCAAAATAATATACCGGGTGACCCAATAAGACTGTTTATTTATTTATTTATTTTATCTATGAACATAACAGGTTGCCCCAATAACAATGTTCATGTATTAATGTTAAAAAGAAACTATTCGAAATTATAAAGAATATAAAAAAAATATGTTAAGAGTATTTAAATAAAAAAAGACAAAGGAAAACAAAAGAAAGAATAAAAAAGAAAAATGCTGTGAAAATTTTTTTTTTTTTACAGTTCTTGAATATTGTCACACGATCTTGCAAACTGCCTTAGGGACATATAAAAAATATCTATGGTGTTATTCCATAAATGCACACTATTATAAAGATGTAATGCTGCTAGCAATGCAGAGTTTTTACAATAATCTGTGTTGACGCGGGGGATATAAAATAAATTTCGAGTTCTTGATGGTATAACATTTGGAACATAGAAGTTGATTGTGCCTCTCATAGCTGTATCGTCAATCAAATTATTCAGAATTTTAAATAGAAAAATAAGAGAATGGACATTCCTTCTATGCTCCAACGTTTTTAATTGGAATGACTCTCTTATAGACTTATAAGATATCAAGAAAGGATACGTGCCATAATGCTTGTAATATACATATTTTAAGAATTTAAACTGTACACGTTCAATAAGTTGACACTCTTTAGAATTGTAGGGTTTCCAGATAATAGATGCGTACTCTAATTTGGATCTAACAAAGACATTGTATAAAATACTTAACGTACTAATAGTTAATTGACAAGAGTTCCTTATAACAAATCCAAGGTTTCTATATGCAACCGCTGTTATTTTATTTATATGGTTTTTAAACGACTAATCACTCGCAAGTGTGACACCTAAATCAGCTGTTTCATAAACTCTTTCAACTGTGATACCATTGATATCATATTCGAAAAATATGGTATTTTTCCGCTTAGAAAATGTCAACACTTTACATTTACTTACATTAAATTCTAGTTTGAAAGTTGTACTCCAAGCAGTCAATGCTGTTAAGTCGGTTTGCAATTCAGCGCAATCAGCTGTTGAACTTACAGACTTAAACAACTTTAAGTCATCTGCAAACAGCAAAACCTGAGAATAGCGTATTTCTCGAGTTAGTCATTAACAAAAAGTAAAAATAATAATGGTCCCAAGTTTGAGCCTTGAGGCACCCCAGAATATGTATGAAAAACTCGAGAAATATGATTCTTATAAGAGACAATTTGTGAACGACCTCTCAAATATGATATCAACAGTTTTAATAAGGGCACTGACAAGCTGTACTGTATTAATTTATCCATAAGCTTATCATGATCTACGGTATCAAATGCATTTTTAAAGTCAGTGTATATAACATCAACCTGGTTTCTTTTATCCAACGCAAAAGAAGCGTAATGTACAAAATTACAAAGATTTGTTACCGTGGATCTTTTTGGCATGAAACCATGTTGATGGATAGATATACAGGATTTAACATGATCAAATATATACTTATAGAGTATACTTTCAAAAATTTTTGCAGGAGTGGAAAGTACAGCAACCGGTCTATAATTACTGATTACTTTAGAATTCCCGGATTTGTGAATAGGAGTAACTTTAGTTAATTTCCATTTGTTGGGAAATATAATAGTTTTAATAATTAAATTAAATATTGTATGCAATGGCTTTACTAGATATTCTCGACAAGCCTTAAAAATATATGGTGGAATTCCATCGGGTCCACAAGACTTTTTTGGCTTAAGACGCTTGATCGCTAATTCTATATCACAAATCGTGATTTCATTAATGTGTAGTGCACTGTCAATAAAGGTTTCCTGTGAACTGTCAATATTTAAATTATACCCCGCAGAACAATCAGAATATATGGATTTAAAATAGTCCGCAAAACAATTGGCAATATCCTGAGACTTATAATATGTAATGTTATTGTATGACATGGATAATTCAGTTGATCTTCCGTGACGCCTCATATTGTCAATGAAATTCCAGAACCTATTACAGTTATCAGCAATATCCGATTCAATTGATCTGATATATTGTAGATAGGCATTTTGAATTTCATTTTTTATGTTCGATCTTAAATTCTGATATTTAATTAACCAGTATTCAGATAAATGTCGTTTTTTCCTCAATTTGTCTTTAAGTTT